AAATTAATAGCATAAAATGATGATCGATGCTGCCTTTGCGTATCGAGTAGCCAATTGTTTCTGATCGTGATTCTTTATAATACACTTTTTATTTTGTAAAAAATATATTTACGCGCTTTATTAATGAATTATCAATAACTAATGAAATGGTTATCTCATAATCTCTTAAATCTATGAATGAGAAAGTAAATACAGTCTTGAAAAAATTCGGTTGCAATTTAGAATAATTGCGCAAATTGATGCGTATGAATTAAAGAATCAATCGATTTCGCTTTCGCGTAACGTATTTTTGAAAATATCTTTACAGATTTTAAGAGTTTTGTTGTATACAAAGACGAATGACATAAACTGTTTCTACAAACTCAATTTTCATATCATCTATCATTATTATTCCACAACGCCAGATGATATTTTTTTTCGGTCATTGCTACATCAGTTATTTATATTTCAATACAAATAATGATGTATTTATATATTTTACAGCAACGAGATCGCCTCATTTGTTGCAAAAGCATTTTTATTTTTAAAATTGTATAGAGTGATTTGATTATACTCCGAGCGAGATTACTCACGGAATTCAATTTTTTCCATGTCCGCCCTCGCAAAATTGCATGGCATTCGATGGAAATTGCAAATCTGATGATCGTGCCTCGAGATTCATTTCTTTAGACGCGATTCGAGAAAATGTCGTAAATTGTATATGAAATTCATATATTCAAATCAACGTTGAATTATGTGTATCGATATTCATAATAATCCTAATTCTTCATATAAAAATTTTTTCCAACAGGCACAATCAATCAGACGATAAAATATATGTTTCAGAAAATTGTACATTTTTTGGAATATCTTTCTTGTTTATCCGCCGTTTTAGTATTTAACGAAAAATTCTGTAGAATGTGAGAATAATTTTTAAGCTAATTGTAAGAAGCATATATGTAATTATACGTTTTGTATAAACGTAAATTCATGTTAAATTTTTCTCTCAGTCATTATATGAGATTATGGTGAGCGCAAAGTCAGCAAGAAATCTGACAATAACATAACACACAAATGAAACACACACACACACACACACACACACGCACGCACACACACACACACGTACACGCACGCACGCACGCACGCGATCTTGCCACGACATGCATAAACGCACATGTCATTAATACTTTTGTAATCGTTCTATTTGAAGACTGTGACACGAATCGCGGTAAACAAACATAAATGCTTTAATTAAATATAAAAAATTCTTATTCTCAAAGCGGATCTTAAATGCTTTAATTATTTAAAATAAATTTATATTTATTTTTGATTACACAAATCGCGCGCTAAATTATTTTTCCGGTCTTAAAACACATTTATGCACAGAAATAGATTATTAGATATTAAATTGTATAAGTAATTTAATAATTTTTAATGCTAATAAGCATTTAGTAAGAATATTCATTTCACGATGTTAATAATTAATCTAAAAAAATGCTAATAATTTTATTGCGTAAAATATTAATATTTTTGGAATTAGATCCGCAAATGTAATGCGATTATACGTTAAAATCATAAAATAGAGAAGTTAGAATTAATATTTATTTTTATATAATTTGAATTATATTATATAGTTAATTTGTAATTAAAATGAGAAAATAATATAACAATACTAATTTACAAAATTAAAAAATAAATTTATTTTAATAATTCCAATTTTAAATATATGTGAAATATATAATTTTAAATATACATCATTTGTACTATTATTTTAACATGTATAAATATACAATCTTTAATTAAAAAATTGGAAGAAACAAAATTCTTTTTAAAAATTGGATTAAAGCGCAAAATAAAGATTCAAATTTCAAAGTTCTATGTATTTTTCTTTTTAAGAAAATTTAGAATAAATTTTTATCCATTGTCTGCGATTTTCTTCTATTCTCCGCGAATAAATAATTGATTTGCATCAGAAAACAAAAATAAAGTCATTATACAATCGAATAAGCAATTGTTCGTTAAATCGAATCAAAGAGTGATCAATCAATGGAGGCAATGACCTATGTGTGAATTATAAACATGTCATGATTCATTTACGGACGAAGTGGCTATCTCTCACGGAATTTAATGTGTCATATCATTGATAAACGTCATTAGAATCCAATCTTAGCATTAGACGATTCGTTGACGAAAATATATTTGCATTCTACAATAAAGGTATATAAACTCATATTTAAGTCACCGAAGCGATTTCGTGTCACTGGTGTTTCGATGACTCTTATGTTACTTTTATATGTTTATATATATATATATA